AATAATAATAATAAAAAATCAGTGTATCCATTGCTGATGAATGGAAGTGAAGGGAGGACGTTACCCTTGCAGTGCTTTGTAAGCATCTCATAGGAAGCTGGCTTGCCACCATGTCAGCAGAATCCTTGCCTAGATAGGTCTGGTTTGGCCAGCAGGACTCGTGTTCTTAAGAAGCCTACTGTGAAGTATGTGCTCTGGTGGATAGTTGTCAAGTGTTTACTGAAAAAAATGGCATGCCGTGCCAGTATAGATTGGTTGACTGGTACCTGCTAGCTGATTTTGTAGTTTCAGAAAGGCATTTGGTTTCATTTTCTGCTTCTGACTACTTATGCAGAACCTCTGCCTTTATAGATGAGTTTCTCTGTAAAGGTTATAGTAAAAGCAGCGTCTTAGAGGCGTTGCATGTAGCATACCGAGAGCTTCAGCATCCCGCCCATGCTCTAAGCATCTTCATAAATTGGCAAGCTTAGCTATTCCGCCTAGAGAGGTGAACTGCAGACATAACACAAATGTGTTTCCATGGTAATGCTGGTCTTCTGGTGCACATTTAGATCTGCATACAAACCTAGAATTACCTTTTCTGCTGTAGTCAGTCCATGCTGCCTGCTTTCTCGCAGGTGTTGCATTCTTTTTCTCTCTCATGGACTTGAGGGAAACCTTAGGGCAGTAACAGGAACAATTATATTGTGTTTTTAGAACTGAATGAGGAGAGGAGCATATGCACAAGATGTGGCATTTCTTCAGCTCTCAAGTCAACCAATAGGACTGAAAGGTAGCCAGCACCTTAAAAGCTGAAACCTGAGTGCAAACATCACCAGATATACGGAGTGTGTTCTTTTGAGTGTGAATGTACTCTAACTAAAACTGTGCCATCAAGAGAGGCATTGATATACTTAGGGACACTCTGAGGTTTACACAGAAATTGCCAAGAGGGGGAAAAATCCTGAGTGGAGAGGTGGGAGGATCTAGAACAGCCACACAAAGGCAGAATAATGCTGGCTGACTGTAGAATGCTGGCTGTTGAATGGGGGAGGATGGAAGACAAGGGAAGGAAGCCGGGTAGAATCTGGAGTAAATGTGCTCCATGAGGCTGCGTTTTCTGTGCTGCCCTGCCCTACTGATGGGTCCCCCTCTAAAGCCTGGCATTTGCAGCCGCAGCAGCAAAAAAGAGCTGCAGGTCAGCTACTGCTGTGCTTGAGGTGCTCTCAAGAAAGGTCTGGGTTGAAACTGGCGGAGTGGGTCAACTCTAAATCAAGGTAGTGTGGCCTCTGTAGGTGTCGTCTGTTGAACCACCACCACCCCCGGTATTATGGGCAGCCTGTTCGCAGGCAAACCATGAGAGGATTTAATGTAGGCTTGAGAATGCATTCTTGACTTCTGCTGCTTAAGACTGGAAGGTATGCTGTTCATACTGTGTCCGTGAGCCTGCTGCTGTCAGCTGTCCTTTTAACTCTGCATGTGAAATACAATACTTGTAGGGCAGCAGTTGTCTTGCAGATATTAATGGACCGAGATGTCTAGGAGAGCTTAGTTCCCTAGAAGGAACTCTGATTACAAGTGTTGCGGTATCCCTGTGCCTCTTTCTCCACCTGTCAGGAGATGATCAGGCTTACAGGAAGGGAGGTAGGCCATATTAATTCCACAGCAGTAGCAGCAGCAGCATCTGCTTACGGATGGCACACCTGCAGTTTCTCTCGGAAGCAGGCGCAGTTCATGGAAGTGGGGTCTGTTAAGACAGGCTGTTAAAAAGAAATGCAGATCCCGCAGCTTGAATAAATTGTGTTAAATTGGATACAGTACCAGTAAATTAAACATTTCATGTTGTTTCAGTTTCAAAGCTCCTCCTTTCTGCAGAATTGGACTGGGCGGGAAGAGGAGATCTTTTCAGAGTTTTGACATGTGCTGGAAGGGGCAGTGAACAGAAATTGCAGGAAGGATGGAGTGTTGTGCCCCTTGGCATTCAAAACCATTTCTGACCAAGCTGGTATTTTTGAAGTATTTTCCTAGACATTGTACTTAACATTTTCTCTGTAACATGGCTTAAAATTAATAATCAAAAGTAGGAAGGGATCTGTGGTTGGAGAAAGGTACTAACTTCTGGCTAGAAGCATTAATGCTTTCATTTAATTCTGTATCGTCTTGTTTCAACATGATTGTTCTTGTTGGGTGCAGGTTCTTATATTTATATATTGATAAGAGTTGGGAGTGGTCACTGGGATAAAGTCTAAAGTTAAAACCTAATAGTTCTTACTGGCATCCCTTTTAAGCACTGAGTGTTTTTGCATGCCGGAAATACAGAACAGTTGTATGAAAGACGAATTTGTATCTTTCACCCTTTTCTTGGTAGGCAGGCCTGCAATGCTCTGCCCTTAATAGCTATGTTGTGCTTGGGCAGAATATGGAGCTCTCTGAGCACCCACAGGATGTGAATCATGCCGTCACTGAGCTTTCATGTTGGCGTGTCTCAAAAACAGTCACAAGATGTGAATTGCATGAGCACTAAAACTCAGAAGGGTTGGTAGGGTTAATCTTTCCTCTCTGGCACCCTCACCGGAATTTCTTCAGCTTTGCCCCCTTGTTCTCTGGTGCCAAGTGGGAACCATCAACATAGCAGTGTAATAGCATTTATTTATTCATGGCTTTTCATGGGACAATGCCTCTTCTAGGCAACTTACACATATGGTAGAGTAAACCATTAAAACAGCGAAGAAGATTGAAAATCAAACAGTAAATAGTTTAACCTTTTCTTCAGTCTCATGCAAATCTAAAAAGTAACATGGCTCTTCTTCATAAAACCCCCCAGCTAGAAATGAAAACTCAGTGAATCCCCAAGATCGTTGAAAAGGTTATTCCGAAAGAACCTGGCCACGGCGGTGTATTCACAAGAGGGAGTTCCAGAGCTTGGAGGCCTCGCTGAAAAGGCCCCTTTGCATTCTGCCCATTGATTTAACTTATGTCAATGACAGTTCTTTAAATAACCGAGCCTTGGATCTTTTAAACTTTAAAGGTCACCTTGGATGAGGCCCAGAAATGAGCTGGTAACCAGTATAGCTGGTACCGTATCAACTTCTGCAGGAAGCCGGGTGGTTGTATTTTGCATCCATTGAAATCCCTCCATTGTTTCTAGTGCCTTTCACTGTGGAGAGAGCACATAGCAGTCATCTAGTCTAGCAGTTCTTTATCTCTGTCAGGAGAGGCAAGGTCTGTCTTCTCTTAGAGTTCTGGCTGGCAGATCAGCCTGAGCTTGATCAGAACCACTCCCAGCCATCCCCACCCTCGGTCTTTTCATAAACTGGCGCTATGCTTGATCTTTGGGCTGGGAAAATCTGCCCCACCCACTCATAAGATTTTAGAAAAAAATACCGTGATGTGGATTATGGAAGATTTATGAGACTTGTTCACAAGTAGCGAATCTCAACACCTCAGGCTTTACATGCAGGAAGTAGTAAAGACTGAGCCCTTAGTCAGGTGGGTGGCCAGTGATGTGGCAGGTTTGCTGCTTTGAGAAAGGGAAGGAGGAAGATGAATTCTGCTCTCTCTTACCCTAAGTTAGAAGAGTTTAATATTTAAAGAATCAGTATCCTTAAAACTTTAAGTATTTTGTAATTGATCAACAAAAATATGCGCTTGATTTTGTGACCCTGCATGTTGAAAACAGAGAATTCCACAGCAGTGGGTCCAGTTCCTCTTTGTGTGTGTGTGTGTGTTTGTTTGTTTGTGTGTGTATGTGTGTGTGTTGGCAAATTTTTATAGAGAGATGTCTAAGGGGCTGGGCGATTTATTTTTTGTTGTGCTGTGCTTGAAAAGGTTTTCTTTGTTAATAGATCAGGGTGATGTGTTCATCTCCAAAGTACAAACTCCAAGCCCTTAAGGGAGGTGGGAGGCCTGAATTGACTATAACAGGCGTTACACATTCAGAAACCTCATGGTGTTTTTCAGATCTGTCAGTTAGTGCTTCTCCCCCTCCCCGTGGCAAGATGTTAATTATTACTGAAGTCAAGTTATACATGTATGCAGCATGGAAGTAATTACTTGTGTTTCTAACTAAATACATGTTATGTTACCAGTCTGTACGAGATTTCACTGGAGAAAAATATGCTGTCTAGAAATACATTGTCTCCCATTGACAATACAAACACACTCTGTCCTCCCGTATGCTTTTGCCTTGTTAACTTTTCTTTCCACTTGCTTTCTTCCCTTCAGTTATGCGGTGATTGCCTATGGATGTGCCAGTTGCCCCAAACTGACCTGTGAGAGAGAAGGCTGCCAGACAGAATTTTGTTATCATTGCAAGCAGATATGGCATCCAAACCAAACTTGCGACATGGCCCGCCAGCAGAGAGCACAAACTCTGCGGGTACGGACGAAGCACACGTCAGGCCTCAGTTATGGACAGGAATCCGGCCCGGGTAGGTGTTTGTAGGCCTCTTAATAGTTGTTCTTGTCATTCTTTCTGGATGTCTGGGAGAGAAAAATTGAGAGAGAGAGATCTCCTGTTTATGGTGCAGGTAGTGCTAGGATCAAGGTGCAGATAGCCAAATCACAAACCCCAGGCCAGTCATGGCTGTGTCAGACATCTCTGGCCACAGTAAAGTTTCATGATCTGGGCACATTTTGTGGGCTGTGAGTTAGTAGCCATATTGGGATGTCATAAAGAAGTGTGGGATATGAACAGATTTTCTTCTTTAAGATTCTTTTTTAAGACTTGCATCCATTTAGGACAGTGGTGTAATAAAAAGGAAAGTGTGTCAACATTAGGGCAGTTATTCATCTTTGCTCTCCTTTTTTAAACTAAAAATCCTGAATCCCAACTTCCATGGAACAGGGTCAGAATTCAAATGCCGTGAAGAAAAGCCCCTGTGCCTCAAAGGCGTATGCTGAAATCCTGTTGCTTAGCCTAGTAAGTCACAACAAGAGTGCGCCCATTGAGGGAATGAATGAACGAATGAACCCCCACAGGTTTAGTGTGCCTCCTCCAGTTGTGACTTACGGGGCTAAGCAAGAGGATCACAGCCATTGTTTGGTGTTTTAAAGCGGTGAGGTGCTCCTTGTTCTAATTGACTCAGCTGCTTGGCTTAGTGCTGTGCTGATGATGTTCTAGACCTCCAGTTTCTGCTACTTTTGATATTGTCAACAGGGAGGAAGTTTAAAAGTCCCAACCTCAGCTATTTACAGATTGCCAGTTCTCAGGGTGCTGGCTTGGGGGAGGAGGGATCTCCTTTCTTAGAATTCTCTAACTTTCAGCTCCAGCAAGGAATTCCTTTCGGGAAGATGCAGAAGCTGATGAGTTTCTCTTCTTTCTTCCACAGCAGATGACATCAAGCCATGTCCCCGTTGCAGTGCCTACATCATCAAAATGAACGACGGCAGCTGTAATCACATGACCTGTGCGGTATGCGGCTGCGAGTTCTGCTGGTTGTGTATGAAGGAAATCTCGGACTTGCATTACCTCAGGTAGGTAAGCAGGGCAGGCGTCCTCCGCTCGCTCTGCCTTCTTTGGCTGTCTTTGCTTGGACACCCACGGCCCTCTCTTAGGCGAAGTGTCCCGCCTCTTGTGTGCGCAAAGTGAACAGGCAGTCACTCCGTTTTAGTCCCGAATCTTGCGGGGAGAGAAAGAAAAACTGGGTGGGAAGTGCTCACGGCTGAGGAGCACCACTTGGGTCCTGCAGCAGTTCACAAATCAGGATGGGGCCACTCTTCCGCTGAGCAACCCTCCACCCTCCACCCCCGGTTCCTGCAGTGACCCATTTGCAGCTTGGCAGAAGGTTTTGCTAGGAGTGGCATCGGCAGACCTCCCCCTCCCTCCCCCGTCCCCCCCCACTTTGGAATTCTATTCTCCTGAGGGCCATCTGTAACATCTCTTGCAGCCCTTCCGGTTGCACCTTCTGGGGGAAGAAGCCATGGAGCCGTAAAAAGAAGATTCTCTGGCAGCTTGGGACACTGATAGGTGCCCCAGTGGGCATTTCCCTCATTGCGGGCATCGCCATTCCAGCCATGGTCATTGGCATTCCTGTGTACGTTGGGAGAAAGGTAAGCATGAGCTGCAGATGATGAAACTGACACAGCCTGAAACTTGGGGAGGGGAAGAATCCCTGCAAATGGCCCCGGGAGCTCAGAAATAACGATATGGGCAGCTGTTGTAACAGGGATGAAGGCAGCTTAGTTCTAATGAAAAGTGCTGCATTAAGAAACCCTGGATTAGCGATCCTTCCTGAGGACAGCTCTGGGGGCGGGTACTGTGGGTTGACTACCGCTTGCACATACAGAGTATAATTGTTTAAAAAGAACCATCCTTTGGACTTTCCCATGCCCATAAATCTTCTTGTCTCTGGCTTGCTTTTTGGCCATCTGAGCAGCTTGGGACAAATTGAAAATCCCGGCTCTTCGGAAATGTTCGTTCATTTGTTCCTTTTTTTAATTGGAAGAAAAGGTGTTGTAAGGTGTTCAGAGCAGCTGAAGCAGCATCTTATGGAGTGATTTTCTTTTCCTGATTGAATTGCCTGTTGTAGCTTTGATTCTTCTTATGCCAGATTCACAGCAGATATGAAGGGAAGAAAACCTCCAAGCACAAGAGAAACCTGGCTATCACCGGGGGTGTTACTTTGTCTGTGATTGCATCGCCTGTCATTGCTGCTGTCAGCGTCGGTAAGTAAAAAGGGCCCTCTTCTCAAGGGCATACGAGATGGGCCCGTGTTTTGGCTCTTACTTTAATATGACAGTGATTCTAAGGTTGTTCTTTCTCTAGGCGGTCACTTCTTTTTAAAGGTGTGATACGTGCAGACTACTAACAACTGATTTCCCTTTGTCAAGATGCATACGGCTCTTGATATTTCCTCCAGAACTTTGATATCAGTAGTTAGAAATATAGCCCTGACTTGGAAGAAGGTTTGTGAGCTTTCAGGATCCAGATTTCTGAGCAATATTTTCCCCTCCTCTCCTTCAGGTATTGGAGTCCCCATTATGTTGGCCTACGTCTATGGAGTTGTGCCGATTTCTTTATGCCGAGGTGGTGGCTGTGGAGTTAGCACAGCCAATGGGAAAGGAGTTAAAATTGAGTTTGATGAGGATGACGGGCCAATTACAGGTAAGGAAGTCATCCTTTGTCTTCTTGGTCCTAGGAAGGAATATTGGCAGGCATGGGGGCCAGGCTTGCCTGGGTTAGATCATATTCCCGGTGTGAATTTGTGAGACCATGTTGTCTGACTGCTGTGTCTGCAGCCTTCTCCTGCACATGCAGACACTTTGCAAGTCATATCTGGGCATGTCGCTGCCACCATCTAATGAAGAGCAAATACTTTCATACTGGCCAGCTGTTTCAGCACCACTTTATTGCCTCTGTGTATGTAGTTTTGGCTGTGTACAGTCATGTTTAGAATTCACTAGTCAAGTCACCTTTGGTTTTATTTATTTAATTTATTTATTTATTTATTTAATTTATATGCCGCCCACACTACCCAAAGGTCTCTGGGCGGCTTACAGCATTTAAAATACAATAAAGATATGTAACAATTAAAATACAATTAAAATATATATAAAATTGCCATTGGACCCACAGCTAATATTATTTCAGTTAAAAGCCTTCTGGAACAGGAAGGTTTTGACCTGGCGCCGAAATGTCATCAGCGTCGGCGCCAGACGAATCTCAGTCAGGAGGGCATTCCATAGTCTGGGGGCAGCTGCCGAAGAGGCCCTTTGTCTACAAGCCATCCCTCTTACCTCCTTGAGGGGCTGCACCACTCACCAGCCGCGCAGCTCGATTCTGGACCAGTTGCAATCGCCGGACCGTCTTCAAAGGCAGCCCCACGTAAAGCGCATTGCAGTAATCTATACGGGATGTTACCAGTGCATGTGTAACTGTCATGAGTGTCGGCGCCAGACGAATCTCAGTCGGGAGGGCATTCCATAGTCTGGGGGCAGCTGCCGAAAAGGCCCTTTGTCTACAAGCCGTCCCTCTTACCTCCTTGAGGGACGGCTCTTTCAAAAGGGCCCCCTGGCTAGATTTGGTTGTAAGTTCCTTATATTGTTGTCTGTTGTTTTGGTCCAGTCGCAGATGCTTGGAGGGCTTTGAAGAACCCCAGCATTGGGGAGAGCAGCATCGAGGGCCTCACTAGTGTCCTGAGCACCAGCGGGAGCCCGACTGATGGACTCAGTGTCATGCAGGGCAACTACAGTGAGACAGCCAGCTTTGCGGCCCTCTCTGGAGGCACCTTGAGCGGAGGAGTGCTTTTGGGTGGGAAAGGAAAGTACAGCAGGTAAAAATCCTTCTGCGTCATGGTCTCTGTGAATGCGCACTGTGGGTTAGTTTTCTGTGCTTGTGCGATCTTTGGGACCTTCTGGAGCTGAAAATCAGGAGACTGTTAGAGGCCCCACCTCGTCGCGCCTCTAACGGTCATCTGTGTGCAACATGGTGGGGTTTGGGATACACGTTTGCTTCCGTTGTGTCACCCGCAGGCTGGCTTATTGCAGTGCTAGGATGCCCTCTGTTATGCCACCGTGGTTGCCCCACAGAAGTCAGGATGAATTGGGTGCTTCATGCAGAGCTGGAAAGCTTTTTCCTCCTCCTGTCTCATGTGCCTTTTAGTACCGTTATTGCACAATGACAGGAAAGCTTTCCACCTCACTCACAAGGTTACAGCACAGTGTTTTCCTCTAAACTGACCTTCCAGCCAGGTGGGGTGTGTACTTCTCCCCAGGCCTGAATTTACAGCTCAGAGTTTGACTGCAGGATGTCCAGAAACAGACAGTACACAGGAACTGTGTCAGTCATCAGCACAGACATAATCCTAAAATTGTTCAAGAGAAAAACAAGAGAAAGCCAAGCCAAGCAAATATTCAGCCAAATAAGCAAGTACCGGGGAGGGGGGGAGTTCTTTAAACCTGAGCCTAATTATTGTGATCTTAGATTATTCTTTGATATAACGAAGTGTCTTCTAGTACCTCAGTTTAAATGAAATTGGGGGGGGGACCACATCAATGTAATAAACCTTTAAATTAATTCTCATCTCCTGCCCAGACTGGAAGTGCAGGCCGACGTGCAGAAAGAGATCTTCCCAAAGGACTCTGTCAGCCTTGGGGCCATCAGCGACAACGCAAGCACACGAGCCATGGCCGGCTCCATCATCAGTTCTTACAATCCCCAGGACAGGTAGGTCGATCCGGCGGTGAAGTTGCGGGGTAATTCTGATGCAGAACGATGGCTGCTTGTTTCCTCTGTGGAGCCTCGTTTTGTAAGGGGAGCTCTCCCTTGTTGGTGGCCCTTGGACAGGAGCAGAATGAGACCCGTGGACTCTCTTGAGCTGCTCTGTTCAGAGTGGTTCCCTTGGCATTGAGACGCTGTACCCGTAGGCAGGTGTCATTGTGGCCACTTTATTTTCCATTAGGATGCTTGCCATCTTAATTGCCTTTATCTCCGTGAGATACCCAGTGTGGACCCCAGGACTCAGGAGACTTGGGTTTGAATTCCTGCGTTGCCACGCAAACCCATTGGGGACTAGCATTGGCTAAACCACTCCTTAAGTATCTCTCTTCCCCAGAAAACCCTATTAGAGTCATTGTAAGTTGGTTCCGACTTGACAGCACAGAACACACGCCTATTTCTCTGAACCACGGAGCAGATTTCATAACGTGTAGTGAAAAACTAATTCAAATATGTGAATAATGCATTGAATCTTGTTTAGTTAGATGGTATCAAGTTCACATTCTATTTGTGTGCGGGGGGGGCAGTTTTCTTCAGCTGTCATGTGTTTGGTCAGTGAGAAGCTAGTATTTTTTGTATCATAGACTATGTGGAAAGTTTTTAGGTTCCCTTTATTCCATGAGTGAACCTGAAACGAGGAGAGGAATTCGTAACAGTAGGTAAAAGTTCAGAAACTTGCAAAAACAAGTTATTGCATTCTTTCCATACTGATGGTCGATTTTCTGAATAGAGACGAGCTGGAGAAGTAGAAGTCTTTCTAGTTGGCCGACTCTGGTGGGTAGCCAGATGGGGACAGGGGGAGGCGTTTGTATCTGAAAGTGTGTGGCAGAGGAAACCCGTACTTCATGTGATCTATATCCTCCCTGGTCATGCATTGTATATTCTTATATATGGAATATGTTGGTGGTCAGGGACTCCACGTGATGAAAAGCATGGTGCTGTCATATGCTGACTAGAAGGCTTGAGCTGCTTCCCACGGAGGGAAGAGTACTAAACAAACTTGTACTACAGAGGCGCTCATATCTGTTCTAGACATCACGGAAGACATTAATTGCGTTTTTACTTACAACTCTGCATACTGATGGCTTGCAGAAGGGTTTTGAAATGGCTGAGGGCTGTAGTCAGAGCCTTTAAAAGTTGAGGGTCGTGGCATGCACATGTGTTTCAGTGTAGGGTTTTTCACGTTTGAGAATTTTAATTTTGCATTGTTTGATTTAAAGTTGCTTTAAATAATTTATGTAGCCTGTGCAATATTTTATGAAGCAATGTGTAGCCTGTACAATAAATAATAAGAATAAGAATAATAAACTGCCCAGAGAGTGCTTTAAGCACTCTGGAGTGGTATATAGGTAGCACACTTTGCTTTTTGTTGTTGTTGTTGTTGTTTTAAAATTGTTTTATATAGCTCTGTGACCTGCCCTGAGTTCTATTGACATAAGTTGGCATATAAATGTTAAATAAGTAAATACATGTATAGTACATTACCAATAAATGGCCCAGGAAGGATTATATTTCTTGCTGTTTGAATCTTCCCTCAGTCTGAGGATGTCGGAATATGTCAGTCTTGGTTTTGTTGATTTCTCTGAATCTCACCATTTTTTCCACACTGTCTTGTTTTGTATTGGCTTGTAACACTTTAGTTTTCTTTCCTGCATTTAAATTCCAATACGGCTTCACACCTTTTGCCTGACATGAGCACTTAGTTATTTATAGATTTTATGTAGTATAGGCAACCTGCTGACTAAGCCACATTAGTGTTTTTCAAATGCTCCCCGCATCTGTTTGCATTTTAAAATGTGCGTATTGTTCTGTACGCACTTTGTGTCTTCAAAACAGCTTGCCAGCCTCTCAGATTCATGATGTGAGCTCTGTGTGTGTGTGTGTGTGTTTTGGTCTGAAATAATCTTGCAAGGTGCAAAAGCTGCTTTTCTCACGACTCTTGAATCCAAGGAACATCTTTGTCGCCCACTTCCTTAGCCTATGTGTGGCACAGTAGATGGCATTATCTCATGTGTTTGTGAAGTATCCATAATGATATATTTAATATTATAAAAGGTTTTGAAAAGCAATGTTAGTGTGGTTAGCTTGTGAAAACCATTAGGAAAGGAAGCGGCTTCTCAGTCCTCTTTAAGGGTCATGAACACAAACAATGTAGCCTGGAAAACCCTGACATTGTGGGTTTTTTCTTTTCTTTTTTTCCTGCAGGGAGTGTAACAACATGGAGATCCAGGTGGATATAGAGACCAAGCCAAGCCATTATCAACTCGTTAGTGGTAGCAGCACCGAGGATTCGCTCCATGTTCACACACAGATGGCAGAGAACGAGGAAGAAGAAGAGGAGGAGGAAGCAGAGGAGGAGCAGGAGGAGGAGGAGGTGTGCAACCACCCCAGTTGTGAGCAGAAAGACTGTGTGGCCAGCAAAACCTGGGACATCACCCTAGCACAGCCGGAGAGCATCCGCAGTGACTTGGAGAGCTCAGACAGCCAGTCGGACGATGTGCCCGACATTACCTCGGACGAATGTGACTCCCCCTGCTGCCCCCAGACCGCCTCCTGCCTGCAAGCCCCCAACGCCAGAGGTGCTGAGAGCCCAAGTGCCCATCTCGGCCTGTGTGCCCAAGCAGAGGGGCGCCGGCCAGAGGAGACCGTCTCCACCCTGGGGTGCATCGAGGCCCGCGTATGAGGCTGTGCCCCCCCCCTCGGAGGAGAGGCCCACGGATGGTCACTGCCTCCATCCCGTGGGGTGGCCACGTCCTTGTTGGCTTTTCTTTCCGTTCCTCCCAGGTGGCTGTCTGAACCGGATGCTGGGGGAAATGGCATTTCTTACATGATAATAAACTCTTAATCTCTTTTTCTTTTCTTTTCTTATTCATTTTTTTATTTATTTATTGGTTCAAGCTCTCGGTGATGCTCTGTGAGTTGTGTAAGAGTGTGCCTAAACGTGTGCGTGTACATCGTACGCCTGAAGAACGCCTTTAATAAAGATTCCTGTTACCATTCAAAATGTTTCCCCTTTTCTTACAATCAGCAAATTCCTTCCCTACCTTTATGGTCCATTTCTGCCTTGCTTAGATTTTAATCTTCCCATGAAACACAAGGCGGGCGAGGGTCCATACAGCTCCTGCCGCTTTACATCCTGGGCGTGGCAGGAAGACTTTGTGTCGGCCAGAGTTGCCTGGAGGTGCGTGTGTTTGCTGCCCTCCACTGGCCTTCATGGGCTCTGCGCCGTTGCCTCGTTCAGGGTTTATGAAGCAACGCGAATGTTTTGAGATCCATGCATCGGATTGTACCTTGTATTTGACATGAAGCCATTCAGTGCGGCTGTTCCATGGTGTCTCTAGGATCCCTGGTGCCCTCAGTCCCTCTGAGCTTTCCTTTTGCTCCCTTTTGACTCTTCTTGCTGTTCTCAAAATTTAGAGTGAGGTTAGAACTAGAAAATGCCTTTTGATCTATCTGGATAACTACCGTATTCTTCAACATCATTTTGCAATTATTATTTTGCATTTAGAAACACGAAGGTCTGAATGTTTCTCATAGCTTACTTTCACTGGCACCGGAACACTTTGATGTGTGGGCATTTTAAAAAGTGACTCCCCCTTGTTTTCTGAAATAGTGTAGTCCTGGAGCTGTGCTGTGTATTTTGAACTTGTTCTGAATTGCTCAGAGACAAACCACGCTTCCCGTCCGCACTTCCAGCATCTTCCCAGTCTCTGCCCTCTGAGGTGCGATGTGCCCTGTAGGGTGAGGGCCGGTCCTCAGAGTGCGCCTGCACCCAGGCTCCAGACACCGTCCTCCTTGAGTGCTAGTTCCGGCTTTAGTCACATGGATGCCGCCTCCACAATACAAAATTTATGATGAAAGTGCTTTTGCAGCAAAACCTTCCTACGCTTCTATTCCTGTGGCCTTACGCAAGAGACCCAACTGTTAAATTGCCGTTTGAATGTCTAAATATTTCCACGTTTGCCTTCATAATGACTTTTGGAGCACAGTCCTTAAAACAAGTGCAATCAAAGAAACAGCTGTCATTATTGTTCCATTCTAAAATTCAGAAGAGGAGGAGCGATGCCGAGCCAGACCAGCTTGGGAGCCCCTTCCACTATGGAGGGGTAGCTGTTGTCTCGCTGGCTTCTCAGAACAAGACTTCTGGTTTAAGGATCTGTTGAGCGATCTGTACTGTCGTGATGTCCATCTTCCTCCCCCCAAAATACACCAGCAAGGACGACGCTGGAAATCATGGACATACTGAAGTTAAAGAATGGAATATGCACAGCTGGCCTGCTGAGGAAGTAAGGCTCCCACACTGCAGCGCTGTGTTTGCCCTGTCCAACCCAGCCTTCTGTCTCCAGCAGCGTCCACCCGCAGGGCAAGGGGAAGAGAGAACTCTTCTATGGTCAGGGGGTGTTGTCTCCTCAATGTAGCTTTGTGAGCATTTGCACTTACAGGTGTTGGAAGTTTGGAGACTCGAAGGCGGAGCCAGAATATCCTCGAAGACTCATATGTTGGGCTCACAGCAGTGAAGTGAGGTTTGGCTTAGCTATGACTACACAAAAGTAGAAAGGGGAGGAGCCATCAATGCAGTTCTAAGATGATGGCGATGCACACACTTGAAATTCTAGATAAATGTTTTAGGGGTCTAGTAAAGCGGGCGAAAATCCCAAGAATTTGCACTGTAATAAACAACATTTGTCTTCAAGAGCCAACAAAACTTTTTACTGTTTTTGCTGCAACAAAACGGGCTCTTTGTCATCAAAGATGTACCCATGCTCTCCTGTTCCATGTACTACAAAGCTAAAACAAAATGAGCAAAATCTGGTGACACCCTTAAGACTGGCAGATTTATTTCACGGTGAGCTTTTTGTGGGTTACAAACTCAGCTTCTTCAAACATTTATATCCTGTACCATCTTGCCTCTTTTGCATATAGGTTAATCTTTTCACTTAAGACAAGAATACTGTATCAGCATTGCCCTCCAGGCCAATAAAAACAAAGCCCACTTAAAATCTATTCCTGGGCAATACTTCTAGAAGACAGAAAGGGTGCGACAAAAGTGTGCCATGTGTGACATTACAAAGGTAATGGAGAGGTATGTCTCGTAAAGGAAGGAAAACTCCAGTATGCCCCCAAGCTGGCTTGGAGGCAGCAAGGAACGTAGAGCATAGATTTGGCATTCCAAAATCTGAGATACCTCGATAAGAATTTGAGCAGCTCTTGAGAATGCCAACAACCATTTGTCCAGCAAATAATGACTATAATTATGGCCAAAAGTGAATATGAGAAACTCCTGGCATGGAGATCATTCGTTTGCCTCCGGCGTGTCTTGTTTTGCACCCTCGGCATGTCCTGAATTGCCAGTTTGGGCAACTTGAAAAGCAGGATTTCCCCAACAGAATCTTATCATGGCTCAGGATCCGCAGCCCTGGCTCTGCTGGATGCAAATCATTTCCAGAGGCAGGTTCAGGTTCTCCTCCTTGCTTTCTGTCACAGCTCTTTCAGAGGGAGGCGACGGGAATCCCCTTGCAGTGGAAAATGGGTTGCCAAGGCAGGTGAGCTCGGAAGGGCTTCTGGGCAGGCTAAGTCAAGCCGTCACATACCTGGGGAGCAAGTCAAGGGAGGCTGGCACACCCGGAGAGGGTGGGGTCTGGGAGGTGAATCACATTTCCTGCGGGAAGGAGAAGGTGGAGTTTGGGCCTTTTGTTTCTGGAGCCCGGAGAGCTGGTCAGACAGGAAGAGCTGATTTTTCCAACTGCAGCTGTAGGTCTCCGAAGGAGGAGGAGGAGGAGAGGAGGAGCTGATGCGCTGGAGGCAGAGAGTGGGAAAGAGGCCGATCGATCAGGAGGTCAAGAAGCACTAAAGTGACCGTGGTGGTGAAGGTGGCGGCATCCTTGCAGGCGTGATGTGAGAGCAGAGAGGACGACACACACACCCCTCCCCGGAGAAGCTTTCCATGGCCTGAGCCCCTCAAACCGGCAACGGCTACCATGTGTCGCCTGGGTGAGTCCTTTCCACTCCAAGGTCAACCAGCAAGAGTCAGGGCAAGCTGCCCGTCCGTGGGAAGACAGTTGTGTCTCACCCTGAACGTCACCCAGGAGGATCCCCCTGAAATCCTTCAGAAGGTGGTGGGGGGCTCCCCTCTCCCCCACCGCATGGCCTCCTTAGCCATCCTGGGCAGCCCGGCTGAAAGCCCAGGGAGCGATTAATTATTATTTACAAGTTCAGGGCACTTTCCAAGCAGAAGAGGAGGTGCCCTCTCCCCACCCCCCCGAAATAGTTTATGAATTCAAAAACGTTTTAACCCCCTGAAATCCTTCAGAAGGTGGTGGGGGGCTCCCCTCTCCCCCACCGCATGGCCTCCTTAGCCATCCTGGGCAGCCCGGCTGAAAGCCCAGGGAGCGATTAATTATTATTTACAAGTTCAGGGCACTTTCCAAGCAGAAGAGGAGGTGCCCTCTCCCCACCCCCCCGAAATAGTTTATGAATTCAAAAACGTTTTAAACCCATGCAGAGAAAGATTGCCTTTTGGACTGGCAGGCCCGGCC